GCCTTGACTTGTGTAAGAGGAAGAAGCAGACCGTAGGACACAAAGTGAAGAGTTATTTTATGCACTCATTTTCCTCAGCGTGCGTTCACTGCCCTGCCGTCCACATGGAGCTTCACTAAATGCTAGGCAAACACTTTAAATATGAAGACTATTTATCATAATAATAGGATTATGCTTCAACTTATTAAACGATCCCTTGGCTTATTTGTCTAGCTCTTGTTATATGAATGTGATTCCTGTGCAGGTCACTGTTTATTCAACAAAATCACTCGGTAAGAAAATTCTGATGTGTGCTATGATTTCTGCTTAGGGTCAACATGTACTAATGGCATAGCATTTGTTCTTCCCTCTTGAAGGTGCAACAAGAGCAAGAACACTAATTGGAACATGACTAACCCTCAACTCCCTCTGATCAGTATTTGGAAGTATAATAACTATATAAAACAAGCAGCCTTGGAGATAAGAGGCTAGTTTGAAAGTTGTTCTGGTAGTTCCAATGAGACACACTGGTTATCTAGACAAAGCAGAGTGGAGAGAAATAAATGTGTTTGAGGTAGCGCTCAAGTTTAGCCCTTGACTGACTGGGAATCACAGTGAGGAAGCATAAGAAATGAAGGTGAGCTTGTTTAGGTGACCTGCTGGGTGGGAGTGTAATTTATTGGTAACGGACAAAGGATAGGGACTTATTTAAGAACTTAGAAAATGTTGATACATTCAAATAAACCTGAGGATAACCGGGAATAGTTTGACATAGATGAATATGAAGAGAGATTATCCTACCAGGTAGGAAAATTAATTTTAAGGTTTGATAATCAAAACTGTGCAATGCCAGAGAGAGAACAGAATGACATACAAACGAGTCTGAAAGTTCAGAAACAGATTTGACTTTAGGTATTTATGGTAGATACCTTTTGTTGTGGGAATTCTATTTCAAAAGAGTAGAACGTATAAAGAAGTTGTATAAATAAGAGATTTTTTAAGAGCAAAACATTAAATTTCAATATGATAGAACTTACTAAATTATGTATATGGGAAGCTAATGTTAATTTATCCATTTGAACATAATCAGATGCGTTCAGCATAAGTCATATGTTGATAAATCCATCGTGAGTTAAAAGTAGTCTAAGCTCAAAGTGCATTTATTTCACCTAATCTTGTAGGCATCCCAGGTTAGCAATAAAATATCACTTATTTATTCCTGTGATCACATGTTTCACTGGAACCTGTGATTTGCTGCCACCGAGGACTGTCATAAGGGAGTGTTCCACTACATATCACTAGCCGAAGATAGGATGAAACTCAAAATTTGAGTATCATCCCTGTGCATATATGTATGTTGCTCTTATATAACATGGAATCAGAAACCCATGTCAAACATCATAAATCAAAGACAGTATATTTATATTTACCCTTGACGATAGTTCACGAGACATTGTTGGAAGTAACTTACAGTTTATAAAATTTATATATAATTTATGTTAATATATGATTTATAGAAAGTTAGATACAACAGCTGATGCTCATTATCTTAACACATGGGAGACTGAGGCAGGAGACTGAAAAGTTTGAGGCCAGCCTGGCCTACATAGTAAGGTACTGTTGCAAATATTTGAAGGTTAAAATAATTATAGATGCAGAGATACTCAAAACAGAAAACAGGGCTGCCTCTTCAATAAATTGTTGTGGAAAAGCTGATGGCCTCACAGAAGAATTATCTTAAATTTTTATCTCGCCCTAGCTGCAAAAATTAAGTTGAAATGGACTTAAGACACAAAACCTGAAACTGTAAAGCTACTAGCAGAAAACAGAATTAAAATCTCCATATTTGTCCAGGAAAATCACTTTTTATCTAAGTACAAAATAATTAACGAGAACAAAGTAGAGAGTGAATTACATCAGCTAAATAGTTTTCCAACAGCAAAGGACAGTGAATTGTTAAGGCGGCCTATGAAGTAGGATAATGTATTTGTAAACCATGCATCATAGAAAGGCATTCATCATCATATCATCATATAGGGCACTCAGCTCCATAGTTTGAAACAATTTACCCTTTAGAATAGATGAAGGACCTGGATAGCTGTTCCTTAAAGAAGATATGTAAGATGACCAATGGGTTTAAATAATGCCCCTGCCTAATAACCAGGAAAATGCACATCCAAGCTACAGTGAGCTCTCATAGCTGTTAGAACGGTTAATATGAATAGTTTGGGAAGGATATGGAGAAAATGAGAGTTGTGAACACCACTGGGTGGAAGATCAGTTGATGCAGCCGTCTGGAAAACTGTATAGAGTTTCTAAAAACATTAAAATGTATTGAGAATGATTCATTCCACTACTGGGCATTTTCCCAAAGGATGTGGAATCAGTGTGTTGGGATGTTACAATGCACTCCCAAGTTTATTGTAGCTCTATTCACAGACGTCAAGGTTTGGAATCAGTCTGTGTGCCAACAAATGGAGAAAGTAAATTAGCCCATCCTTAGTAATTAAACCTCCAAGCCATTTAAAAATCCTAATCATGTTTCATCAAACAGTGACATCACAACTTTACCAAACCCTTGAATTGTTCTGATAAATTTAATGTAGGGTTTTAGCTGGAGACTTCATTTATCTATTTTATTTTCAAGGTTGAAAATTCTTCTCCTTCTCCTTCTCCTCCTCCTCCTCCTCCTCCTCCTCCTCCTCCTCCTCCTCCTCCATACTTGCTCCAGCATTTGTTGTCCCCTATTTTGTTGATACTCGCCTTTCCAACTCAGATAAGATTGGAGACTCTTTGATTAGACTTTATTTGATTTTGTTGTAATCTCAGCTTTCTCTTCTTCCTTTCTTCCTTTCTTCCCTCCCTCCCTCCCTCCTTCCCTTTCTTTCGCTCCTCTCTTCCACCCTTCCCTAGGTTCTTTCTTTTATTCTCCTTTCTTTTACTGTGTTACCCAGGCTGCTGCCCTCAAACTCAAAATATCCCTGCCTCAGCTTCATACGTATCCAGGATGGCATGTGTACACCACAGCTTCTCAGCTCTGAAAAGCAACGAAGTAAGCAATAACAAACTAACAAAAAGGTCAAATCCTTTAGATGACGGTAGTTTTATCTGTTTAAAGGACAAGAGACTGTCCAACTGAGGCACAGGGCATATTCAACTCCTGCCGCATGGTAGGGCCGCCAGCAGATTCTGGATACAGGGTGGTGCAGAAGACATAATACACGGAGGACGGCACAGTCATCTGGTCTAGCCACGAAATGGGCTTCATCCATTATCTTAGCCACAGAGAAGTAGCTGGAGATTTTCAGCAGTGGGGGTCTATTCTGTTGCTTTCCAGTTCCATTTGTTGGCTTACTTTGTCAGTGTGTATTTATTTTATAAAACAAGTAGTAGCGTTAATTCATAAATTTATTTTTTGAGTTTTGACCCAAATTTCCCCTTCTTATCTTCTAAACATTAGTCTTTTCTTCTTTCAGTTTTTTTGCCTTTTAAGAGCTTTACCCTTCCCTCCACTTTGCGAGGCTGCACTTGAGGGAGAGCCTTTCAGACACGCCAGGAAACGCGCTCTCTAGCTGCACAGCCTCTCTGGGCAGAACCCTGCGACTCCTTTCATCGTTTCTCCTCTGACATGGGTTTTTAAAGCAAATACCCTCTTGATTGCTTCCTCTGGATGCTTTCTACTTTGTCACCCTTTGTTGTTAAAAATAAATTACTCCCAATTTCCTGCTTTCAGTAGAGTAGAGTGAACATAATTGACTCTTTGATGTGTGAGGGTCTGGTGTGGTCTGAAAGCAATTACCCTGACCTTGAATTCCACTCACTGTAAATATCATTACAGAGAAAGTGGGCGCTCATACTAAATCTCTATCAACCATGGAATGGATCTTGGAAGATTTTCAGAAAATGAGTTTATTTTCTTGTTATTTGTTTCCCAGTTATGAAGTGTACTTTATAAAGTAACAAATAGGAAAAAAACAAAATATTATTCATTCTGAAATCCATCATGCAGGTAATTTGTCTTCTCAAGTAGACTATGAACTCCCTGCGAGCTAGGACCATGTCTTATCAATTAAGAAAAGAACATGCAAGCTTAGCTTTTACTGCTTAATATAGCACCCCCCCCCCTCTCATACACACACACACACGGAAGGGGCAGTAATTATTGGTAACTAGTTAATTCATCATTCATAAGAAATTGAGATGTTATACAGTTAATTGAATTGTGTTTTTTTAGAATATATTGAGGAATTAGTAACATAAAATTTGAATAATCTGTATATAAATCATATCCTTACTTTAAAAAGTCTTAGCCATAGTGGATTAGTTATATAGTTGACAGTATTTACAAAGAAAAATGTTAATGTGATGGATGGGATACTTACAATTCTGAGTGTAAACTCAAACAGCAATGACTGATATTTACTTACAAAGCTTGAAGAAGCTTTTTCTAGGTCTGTTCTAGCAACTCAACGATATCATAAGGGTACCAGGCACTTTTATCTTAATATTGTAGCTTCTGGGTTTTTTTTAATCATTTTGTTCTTGAGTTCGCATTATAGTAAAGAACAAAGTCTTCCCTTCCTCTAGAGAGGAGCCTAGGGGGAGTAGCCCCTTCACAATCTTCTCTGGGGGAGAACTATTCCTTCGGAAGCCTTCCAGAATTCTGCTGTGTCTAACTGGCCGAAGGTGAGTTCTATGGCTATCCCTAGGAGGCAAGCAAGGAGGAGGGCCTGGGAAATGGTTGTGATTGAAGCTGTTTACTCTGTGGCTAGAAAGTAGATATTCATAGCAGAGGAAGATCCAGACTGTTATTGTCTAATGGAAACTCGGGCTTACCGAATGATAAGAACTCTTTGAAGCTACCAGTGATAACAACATATAGTTATAGGACCTTTTCAAATAGAGCATCAGTTCTTAGACAATTTGGCAACAGCTGGTGGACCCAACTACCCTTCTGATTTCTATAAATCAGACAAGGCTGTGTTTTTATTAAAAAGCTCTTCATTACCTCTCCTTTTCAGGAGTCTTATCCAAAGAAGAGGAATCACACCATGGAAATTGTGCCATCGGCCTCTCTGGAGACATTTCCTTCGGAAAATGAGAACTTTCTCTGTGATCTCATGGACACAGCCGTTACAAAGAAACCCTGCTCCCTAGAAATTGCAAGGGCACCTTCTCCGAGAACTGGTAATTTTTCCTACTCACCATTGGCCAATTCGATTTGCATACTCACATAACCGAAGACGCATCATTAATATTTTTATGTCATACTATATTATCTCAACATAAAAGTGTCCCAGGGTAGTCCCAGTGATCAGTTTTGCATTTCAAGTGAGTACAGGTAAGCCGTGGGTTTCGATGTGAAGTCTAATATTAAGGGCTCTTCATGGAGATGGCCCTGCTTTGTTCGACAAAGCATTAGGAACCTTGATGAGATGTCATGCTTTGGGTCCTTGGTAGCAGAAGTCTTTATATAGACCTTTGGACATCCTATTTGTTTCTAACTCATCAAATTATATTTGGTTACTAAATTTACCTTACGTTTTTATAACTTGATCTAGTTTAAAGGTTGAGAGTCTTTTCTGGTGGAGGGAGTTACTGAAGATGAACCATCCAAAGCAAGAACAGGGTGGGTGGATGCTGGCATTGCGATAGTCTAGGTAAATGCTGACATTCCTTGCCTGGAAATGGAAGGAGGAGAGTGTGCTTATTATTATAGGCAAACTCTATTGCATTTCCAAATGGGTTTGTTTCTGCCTAAGATGGCAAATTGGGTGAGGCATAGTTCCACGGCAGAGTGCTTGTCTAGTATGTGCAAGGCTCTTGGTTTGGGCCCCAGTACTTGGCATGTATTGGGGACAATGAATGGAAAAATTATAGAGGGGTTGAAGTAAAATCCAGAAAACCCATTATAGATAATAGACTAGAAGATTTCACAGAGATGGACAAATAGTCTTTGAGTTGTGCTAAGGTAGGAGTACTGTGTAAATCATAACCATACAAAAGGAAGTTAGTTTTTGGATAAGGCAAAAACATGGTAATGAAAGTAGTTAAAAATTATGAGGTACTTACTGTGTGTTCTAAGTGTTTTATGTGTATAACGTCATGTAGCTCTTAGGATGCGGTGAGTTATTAACATTGTCCATCACTTTAAAACCGAGGAAGTGGAGGCCCTGACACATGAGATGATGGCACAGGAGTGTGTTACTAGGGATGGCTCTGGGGTTTGAGTCTGAGTGGTTGTTCACTGTGTGCTATAGTGCTACATTATGTCAGGCGATGAGGAGAGACAGGAACTGTGAACAAAGAACAGGGTGTTAAGAAATGTCAGATAGTCCTCATGTGACCTTGACAATCAGAAAAGATGTAAGGGTGGCCAAAGATCAGATGATCGCAGGCCATGGGTGAAGGGAGACTAAGGAGTGATTGACAAACCACCATAGAGAAGACCAGTGCTCATAGCGTATATAGAAGTGGGTGAACACTAGAACTTACAAGAGAGATAACAAGGGACATGGTGGACTTGAGGAGAATGGCCCACTGAGGTAGGAAAATATAGGCAAAATGTGCAAAACTGTACGGGCACTCTACCTAGGCATAGGCACAGGGAAGGGTCAAGAGTGACGCTAGAGGAAGGAGTCCAAGCATGGAAGGTAGGTTTCTCCTAGCTATCCAAAGGCTAACAGTTTCCCTTGATGGGACACAAGTATTCTAGAAACTAAGGACGTTAGGATAAAGGAGAGATGTCCCCAGGTACCAAGACTGACTAGGATCCGGTCAGCTCTCTGCTGCAAACAAGGAATTCTGCATAAAAATATAGGGAAGAAAAACTTCTGAACGGCACCAAAAAACTGGTGAGAAAATTAAATGGGTTGAACCACACCTGGCTTTGGAGCCCCTTCTAACAGCACATTAGAGAGACAGGCCACAAAGCTTCGGCCTGTGTGGTAAGCAGTGCAGCAGTTAAAGCTGCTTTGGTCCTAAGGAATTTGCTGGACATACTGTTGAGAAGTGGTGCTTCAAGCAACAAATTCAGAGAGAGATCTCCGTGACAGCCCAGTGTGAGCATTCTACAGTGAACACTGTCCTCCATAGGCTTAGATGTCAAGGGTACACCGTTAGAGTAATCACAAGTAAGGCGGCCTCACACCTCCACCACAAAGACTTCAACATCTTGTTTCATTATGGGTAGAAAAGGGGGAGATTCCTGAGGAATTCATGCTTTAAGCTAGCCCCTTCACAGGTTAGCACCTCAAATTCATCTCACACAGAAGTTCTGAGAACTGAATTTAGGTTAAAAGCAGTTCCGTCAGGGACCAGTCAGAAACAATTATGACCCTCAGAAAGGAGAGCAGGACACTCTATTCTCTTTAGGCCCCAAGTAATGCCATCAAATAGTTTCCCTATTATGGTTTGCAGTTTAAAATAATTAAGCCTGAAGAGAAAGGAGCCTCAACCAAGAGCCAGCAGAATAAGGGGAAATCTACACACCTGAGGGGACTTCACCTACTGCAGCTGTCAGATGTAGAGTGTAAAATGTAATTTCAGGAAGAGAGAAGCTTGGAAAGAAACCACCAGGGTATATCTGAGATGAAAATGGAACCTTCTAGGAATGGAAAAAGATGGTCCACACAACATGTGAATGAATGGGTGTAGGGCCCTGGTCTGCCCTTATTCCTGGGGTGCATTCGCGGGGACAGTTTATGGCCAGCTAACTAAGCTTCCTGTGTGTTTCTGTGCTCTCCCTGCCCCGTCTGGTGATTAGCTGCAGGGCATTGTCTCCATTGTTAACATGGTCATTTCCCACCTGCCTGGGCGGAGATCCTTGTACAGCAGTTAGGTAGATAAGGACTCCCCCATACCTGAATAAACTGGCATTTGACTGATCTTCTTTCAAATGACCCTGGTCTCTGTATGTGTGTTCTTTCAATCTCCAGGCCCTTGCTCGACTCGCATACAGTACAAAGGCACACAAACTATACCGAGGGTGTAACACAAAATCGGATGTTACAGATGGGCAGATGTTATCAGACATTAAATTCAGCGGAAGGAAGTTTTAGTGAAAGGGAAAGAGGGGAAGAAGAAAATGTCAGAACATGGCGTAGAAGGGAAGAGGGTGGAACAGGAGCATGGCACGGAGTGTTCCTATCAAGAACATCTATCTTACATGTCTGATCAAAGCTGCAGAGGTCTGAAGCAATATGTTAGAGGAAAACCTGCCCCAGAGAGCCCTGCCCTGATAGATGTACGGGGATTGATAAGTGAAGAGTAAAATTTGTTAGATTGTATAATGTATTAAGATGTAATATTTCATAGATTTCTTTGGAAGTAACCTGAAAGAACGTCCTGGAAACATAAGGATCAATTTATGAAGAGAGACTACCTGCATGTGTGTCTAATGCTATCTGAACACAACTAAACTTATACTGATTATAAGTTTAATCAATAAGCAGTAATTGATTTTGTTCCTGAATCTGCAAGTCTAGCTGCTTCCGTTTTGTGAGGATCACCTTTCTACCACATTGCTCACTTAGGGAATTTGGAAAGTAACCTTCACTAATTTATTTTGTTCTGTGGTAGAAGTCAAACCCAGGGCACTGTGCATTATAAGTGCCCCTAACTCTGTGCTCCTTCTCCAGCCTATGGAGAACAATTGACTCTAAGGATACTGTGTCGATGGGGGTCTAGCTGGATACCTGGCAAGCTGTCTATAAACCGGGAGCTTTGTTTCGGCGTGGGGATTGCTTGCTTGCCTTCTGTGACTGGCATGTTTCTCCTCGTGAAGTACAGGCTGGATTCTGAAGATCAGTGTCTCCATTACCAGTGGAAAGTCTAGCTCTTCCCTTCTATCACCATATTGCAATCTGGGAATCTGGGATGTCAGCATGACCAGGCTACTGGTGAGGGCGTTCTTCCTGGCTCGTGGGAGGCTGACATTTCACTGTGTGCTTTTGCTTGTTTTTTTATGTCTGTGCTGAGTGAGCAACTCTTGCATTTTTGTCCCTGATAAGGAACCATACTTAAGGAAAAGACACCAGAGGAGTCAGGACTGTCTTCCCAGCTTCCAGTCATAGTTTCTGTCTTTGAATAGCTGCTTTGGTCCCCACAGCTTCTCCCCTTGAGCTTTTCGTCTTTCATTGTCACTTGTTTTTAGGGTCCCCAGCTCCTGCCTCCTGAGAAGTCACAATGTTAAAGCCACAGGTTTTGGAGCACCCCATTTCCAGGTGTCAAAGTCTCCTCTGGTTATTGACCACCACACAGAACAAACCAACCTTAAGACCTAGTTAACAACAACAATAGCAACACACACTCACTTATTTTTCTTTTAAAGCTGCACTTCTGAGATGGCTCTGCAGGAGTTTCTTGCTTGCTTCCAAGTAATTATGCCAGGGCATCTTGACTAAACACTGTAATAGAATCTGTGTACAAGATCCATTCTTAGGCCAGGTGAAGGGCTCTAACCGACCAGAGCTTGGCAAACACAGGGCCCAGAATGGCAAACATGGCTCTGACAGGTTTTACCTTTTACCCTTCTCCCCCGTCCCCACCTACCGCCCCGACTGTTAGATTACATTCCCAAAGCTAGCCCCCAAGGTCTATTCCTTTATTTTGCCACTGACTCATTCCTGAAACAAAACACCAAGGTCCAACGATCAAAATTTGTTATTTGGTTAATGTGTCCAGTCAGGATTTACCAACTCACCCTAGCATAGATTTCCCCCCTTTCTCCTTAAAAACCCACTCCTGTAAAAGACAAACAAAAAATCCCGCTGGTGCTTGCTTGCTTTCTTTCTATTGCTGCTGTCTTTGCAGCCCCCCGTTCCACCCCAAACCCTATCTGCCTGCCCCTCCAGAGTATTAAATCTCCTTTGCGCTGGATGTGTCTTGCACTGACTCCGAGGGGGACCCTCTCCCTCACGTCAGTTGTGGTGGCTCAGACTTATAATCCTAATACTTAGGAGGCTGGGGCCGGAGGATCACTGTGAATTTGGCAACACTGTGAGTTCCACATCAGTCTGGGCTAATTAAACAAATAAATAAATAAATAAATAAATAAATAAATAAATAAAAACATCCTATCTTCCATACCTACCATGGCCTACTTGGATTGTTCTTGGTATATGTTGGGTAAATGTGAATATGATTCCAAGAACAAACCCCAAGGAAAACCGGCAGAAGCTGCACTC